GAACAGAGTAATCTGGGGTTTCGCACCAGCCCACCCTACCGGGGAATGCATCCCCAAAGCTGAAAAATGCACGCCACCCACTCCACAATGCCCGAACTGGGGGCAGAAACACCAGCGGGGAACCCCTCGATCCCCGAGAGGCTCGCCCAGAATTCAAGAAGTCGGAAAGGCCCCCGGCCAGGAAAAGAGGGGATCATCAAACTGGTGCAAGAACCCCCCATACCGCAGACTCCACACTAAACCAAGCAATCCCCGGGAAATTTTCCAAACCCCTAAACCCCTCAACCGGGGGGTCAAGGGTAAGAACCCCTGAAACCCCTCCTCAACGAAAAAACAGAAACAAGGGAACAGGAGGCGTCAACAGGGTGCACAGGTCAATGGAATCAGCGGGCCCCTGCACTAAACGAGCCCCCCCCAGCCATACACGACAACGCAGGCACTCCTTCCCCCGCACGGAGCTTTGCAGACTCAACTGGCCCTCCCCAAGACCCGGCTACTCAACCTGGTATACACAACAGACCACAGTCATACATAAAAAACCCAAACCCCACATCCCTACAGACCACAGCACCCAGATAATACCCTGTTTCGAACCCATTCCCCAAAAGAGGCCCTCACCAGGGAGGATCCGTAGCACTCATCGGGGTTTTTCACGGACTTTTTTGTAACACAATCAACCCCACGGAACAACGAGCGCTTTTCCGGGCAATGGTCAGACTCTCCTGAGAGTGTGCTTTCTGACCGAAGGGGAGAGGGGGGGTCCCATGAATTTGCGGGTTTCTCATGGGCAGGCTCAGTCCCAGCCAGGAAAAAAACAGCGTGGAAAAACCCCTCGGACCAAAATCACACCCTCAAGTCCTACAATGGAACTTCAGGCCGAGGGCAAACACCCTTTTGCGGGAGGCAGTAATTGGGGATGGGTTTTGACACGTCTTGCTACAAGAAACCTGACTTCCCGCATGTCCCAAGACTACCCGTTTTGCGGGTATTTTGGCACATGACCGGGGCATTCATGCAAGCACAGCTGTTTTTGTACCCAAATCAATCCCACGAGGTTTAGCTAACCCTGTGGACGGGGGGAGGATGTCGGGGGTACAGGCCACCTTGTACACCTGGGCGCCCATTACCATTAAAATCTACAAGAACCCAAAAAACCCCGACATTGCAAGCTCCTCGCACTACACGCCTGAGTGTATTATTGGGGTGGAGATTTAAACGAAACATCACCCTATTCTGCCTCTCACCAGCAACCAATGCTGCTGGCAGACTATACAATGCTCCTACACGATTTCCCAAGGGGTAAAGTTTGAAAACGGAGACCCCCCCCACCTTTTGGGTGGCGCCTCACCAAACCTTTGGGTCAAGACAACTCGCCCGGGAGCCACGGGGAAACTCATCCTCACCTTGTCAGTGACCACTTTGCAGTGACCCACCTTAAAACCAACAGGCCTCCCACATTGTGCTGCCTCCTAGATGGGACGTAAAGGGGGCCAAACGGGAAGGGTGTTCCGGGATTATCTTCATAACTGTGGTCCACTACTCTACTGAAGACTGTGATACGGCTGAACAGGAGCAAATCCGTTCTCACCAGCAGCAGAGTGCAAAATTTCCCAAAGAAGCCCCCGCGGACGCAAAAAAAAAGGATGGGGGTTCTACAACGACGGGTGGGGGAGCAAAACCACCGCTAAACCCTTTTTTTGGAAGCTTACAGCAAACCCCAGGGTAGAAACAGGAAACTCTGAGACCTTGTGCGCATCCCGCAGAATCCTCTCAAGTAAAACGAAAATGGCTGGAGGGGTCTCAACTTGGGGTATCACACACCTTACGAATAGGGGAAAGCCAACATAGCAACGGGCAAAAAAGCCGAGGCCACCAGCACACCCGAACCCTCCCAGGAACGGGAGAAACTATGGAGTTTTTTTCACTTCCGGGGGGAGCCCCACCACCCCCAAAGGGACACCGGGAATATACAGACGATCTTCTGCCACAGCGCCACAACAAACAAGCTGCATGTGGGGGAAGAGTGACTGATGTAGACCTCACGGACTTGGAATCCGATCTGCCATTAAGAACAAGGGACACGCCCGGCATCGATGGGTACACTCCATGATTGCAGGGGCGGGGCAGAGTGGTGGGGCCCATACTAGACGTCTTAACAAATCGTGGGGGCCAGGGCACTCCCACACTTGAAGAAAGCACAATCGTACCAATTTTCCAAAGCCCAGGGCCCAACAGTACGAACCCAAATCGCTGACCCGCTGCTTAGCCAAACTGGAGAGGATGGTGTTTAAAACCGCCCCCAGGAAACTTGGGGCCCCCCATACACAATTGGCTTCACCAAAAGGGGTGGGGAAAAGCAGAGTCATAAAAACCACCACAAGCCAATTGTGATAGCAACAAAAAAACCCATATCGCGTTTACCTCGCCTTTGAAAGGCTTTGAGCTAGCCAGCCCCCCAGCAATTTTGGGAAACTACTCGGGAAGGGAAACAAAGGACGCCTCCTGGCCCGGATGAGTCCTACCTTAGGGCAGGGAGGGGCCCCGGGCACTTTCAGGACACTGCTCTTTCCCTTTAAAAAAACCCCGGAAAAACGTACGCCACAAGGGGGTTGGGCCCTCCCACCCTGTTTTAAATCCTTATGCAGGGAAATTGGAGCCTTCCCCTTTAATAGTGGGACACACTCCTCAGCATGCTATGATCGCGCTAGTAGTGAATGGGAAAAACAAATTTTGAACGACAGGTCAGAGAGTTTGACCAAAATTTTGCAGTCTTGCAAGGGAAATAGCCTTTAAGATCTCGGCCGGAATCTCTTTCAATGTGTTTTAAGGGACCAGATCCCTTGAATAGATTTCGTATTCCGGGTATAGAAATTTATGGACATGCCCCTACCTTACTTGGAACACATTGATAAAAAGCTACCTTTCAGAAACAGGCCGAGTAGGGCAGGTTTACGTGCTCTACCAGACCAAACCCATAGGCCTAGGGGACCGGCGGGGGCAAGCAAAGAGTACTTGCTTGTACATATAAAAGTATACGCTCGCCATTTTACTACGGTGCACCGGCTTTTGTTTTCTCTTCCCCCAGACAGGGGAAAAAGGGGGGAGGTCTACAAAACCAGGCATAAGAACTATGCTTGGGCCCCCTCTACCAACACAGATGCTCGATCTGAGGGCCCGTCCTTCCTTTTTGGGCTTTGAAGTTTAGGGTAAAAAATCACTTTGAACTGGTCCCCAGCCATGCTGGCATCCCCGGGAAAAGAGGCGGCCCGGGAATGCAGCCAAGGGAGCAACAAACTACCACCCTGTTGGGATTTTCGTCCCCAACACCTACCAGACCAAAACTGGGGGGTGCCAGAAACCATGAAAATTATGGGGGGGGTTTGGTGAACCCCCTCTCAACAGTGGTACCGAGCACGACCGGGGGAACCCCCCCATATGAAAAAAACTGGGCCAAGCGCAGGGACCGCCATCCATCGGTTCGTTTTTGGGGTTTCCCAAGCCAAGTGATGGGGGACAAAGGGTGGGAGGAGATGGCCGACGTCGCACTTGTCCCCCGGCCCAACCACTATCTTCTGGATTTTCAAACTGAGACACTCCCAGGAACTAGGGGTGATATTCCCTCCAAGAGGACCCAGAATGACTGCGGGCCCCACTATGTACCTGGGGTCAAAAAAACAGACAACGTTACTTGATAACGCATATCCTCCTCCCGTATGCCATAGTTTGAGTACATATGGGGTTGTCGCTTATGAGAGCCCAGTTTTAACTGACCTGAAGAGGCTTGACAGCAACGTCCCTTGTAGAAACCTTTTCCTTCGGGGGCCGAGAGGGGCCTCGCAAATTGAGACCCTGAGGACTACGGGCTTGGCGAACATTATACATCTATATTTTGTAAGGGTTGAAAAGCCCCGGAGGCGAAACGTTACCACAATAAAATGTCACATTAGTTTTCACTTGTGTCCTTTTTTATTTTCATCTCCCAGGTTTTTTTGAAAAAAGGGCTGGTGGAGGCACCACCCCGGGGTTTTTTAAGCTGGGGGGGCACCTACCCCAGGTTGTTTGAAGAAGGTCTGGTGGGGGGGACCTCACCCAGGTTGATTGAAGAAGGTTGGGGGGAGGGGACCTCACCTCAGGTTATTGAAGAGGTCTGGATCTTTATTGAAGACAGTAGGACTATATACAGAAATGAGGTAATCAGTTCCCAACCTTCGATAGGTGCGAAGAGCACCCGTAGTCTGGAATTCAAACAGAACGTTGTATAATTTCGCCAAAAATGTAGTCCTGGGCCGGGGGCTCAATCTTGCGATGACCCTCCTGGGTCCCGGGGAGAAAATTTCACAGGGTGCGACGTAGCTGCCAACACTCTTCTGTCATTTTAATGTGCATCTCATAAGCGACAACACCATATGACTCCAATATGACACTAGCGAAGCAAGGGGGGTGGCGCTTTTATAACGTCAGGTTAGCAACGAGGGCATAGCACGGTGGCGGGTTCCCCATGGAAGTAGGTCCTTCCCCCAAAAAGATGGGTGATTATAGTATTGTCGAGTCTGAAGGTTTGTACATTCCCGAATCAAGATTCCATGATTTGCTGTCGACAAGTTGTGCAAGGGATTAATACCAACAAGTTAAATTAAGAACGTTAACTCTGGGGACTTAAAAAAGACGTTTCGCCCTCCAGTGGGTTTACAAAACAAATCCTAAAATAGAGAACTATTACAAAAAGATACCCAAACTTGCACTGTGTCTTAATTTTTATATTGTCGTTTATATCCCTTCTTGCACAAATCTCAGTTAAGGGAAATACATCAATGTTACCTGCACTAGCAACTAATCCCAACTCGTCCATCTTATTCTAGCACTACGGCTATTAGTATAATGTATATTTAAAGACAATACCGACAAGATGAAAATTAGAAGCGTGTGCCACATCTGGGCATCTTCATTGTAGACGTTTATCTTTGTTTATGTCTGACCTGTCCTTTCGTGTCTTTGCTCAGGGGATCCCACCGTGTTCGGAAACCTGAAACCAGCTAAGGAGATCACAGACGCCGTAGTTACAGCCATCCAGAGCGGCAAATTCAACGGATACGCACCAAGCACAGGTGAGTCGACGACATCAAAAGGTGAAAAATTAGACATGTGTAATAAAGTTGGTAGACTTACTGACAGTATGTAGGTAAAAACGACACAAATGAAACTACTGTAAGATTTTATTTTAGCATAGTTTCGCTCTCCAAGAGCTTTGTCAACCTATATTTTATGCTACCCGAGCCATAGCTTTTAAGCCTAAACTCAATTGTAGGCAAACTGTGATGAATAGTTTTGAAAACCGACAAGGTGAAGAACTGAGACACATACGCAACATAGGGAATTTTTATTGAAGAAACGTTTCGCCACACAGTGGCTTCATCAGTCCAATACAAAGCAGGAAGGTATAAGGAGAGGAGGAGTTTGAGGTAATCAGTCCCTCAACCTGGAATCGATGTGTTCAGTCCATCACTCGTGTAGGAATGGATGGTTCCACTATGACCCCGCCTCCTGCTTCGCCTCGCCTAACTACAGTATATAAGCCACTCCTGTGCTGTACCATTTGGACATAGAGATCATCAGTGCCAAGGCAGCAGACGCATAGATTACATTAGCAGAGCAGAACAGCACACTTCAGCATCACAGTCCAGCACCACGTGGACAGACACATGGCTTCTGCCGAAAGGAAGAGGTCACGATGTTCCAGGGACACGACGGATGACTCGGATTTAGAAATGGACGACTCGGATTTAGAAATGTGGGGCGCAATCCTAGCGAAGAAGTTGCAAGACCACTCCGTGTCATCAGAGGAAAAGTCTCCAGTTCTGACAAGCCTAACCATGCAGCCAGAGAATACGGAAGGATGGATTAATGTGAACAGTAAGACACGCCGTCCCTCCAAGGAGCAGGTAAACCAGCTCAAATCACCTTCCAGATTTAAGGTAAAGGCTTATGGGGAACACAAAACCCACTATGGCGTGGTTACGCACCTGGAAACACGGCACAAACTGAGGTTCAAGATATGGTTCAACCTGAGGGGAGAACCAATACTGACTCCTATCAACATGGAAATGCATATCACCTTGAAGAAAGTCATGGAGACAGACCGCTCCTTCACCCTGGAGGAACTGGATTCTCGGCAGAAGGTCACCAAGGGTGTAGTGATGCGATACCCGCTGATGATGCCCATCGAGGCAGTAGCAGCTCACCCCAGTGTCGTGTCAGCTCAGCATCTCAAGGCAAAATCGGCAGGCAATGCACCAACCCGGCAGGTCCTCATTCAGCATGTAGGACCGCTGCCATTCCAGCTGGACCTTGGTTCTTGGGGCAGGTACGATGTCAGGACCTTCACGGCAGAACCAGTTCGCTGTTTCAAGTGCCAGCGTTACGGACACCTGGGTGCACTCTGTCCGAACAAAGTAATCTGCGGTGTCTGCAGCCAGCCCCACCCTACCGAGGAATGCATCACCAAGCTGAAGAATGCATCGCCACCCACTCCACGATGCCCGAATTGCAGGCAGAAACACCATGCCTGGAACCCTCGATGCCCTGAGAGGCTCACTAGAATTCGTGAGGCCTGGAAGACGCCAACAACGAGACAGCAGGCTACGGCAGAGCATCACCCTCAGCAGACGATGGGTGCAGAGAATCCTGCCATACTGCAGAACTCTCATCAATCATCCCAACTCAATGCCCAGGAATTTCCGACCCTTGAAAACTCAACCAGGCGACATGAACAGGAGCATCCTCCCCCACTACCGCAACGAAGAAACAAAAACATGAGGAACAAGCGGCGCCAACAGGAAACATCTGGGCAACGCAATCAGCAGACGACACTACAAGAGCCCCCACCGGCCTCCTTGCCAGACACAACCACTATGCACATAGGCTGTGGCTGCACCTCACCAGCAGATGCCAGGTACACAACCTGGCATACAGCAACAGCCCACGGTGTGCACAGTGAAGAAATACAACCCTCAGCAGTCCCCACAGATTACGACAGCCCAGATAATGTCCACTGCTTCGAACCCACCGACAACGCAGGCCCTCAACAGAGAGGATCTCTTAACACTCATCAAGGCATTCACGGATATTATCTGCAACACAATCACCTCCACGGAACAACAGAGCATGTTCTGGCAGATGGTCAGCACACTCCTGAGGGTGTGCTTACTGACAGAGCAGGAAGCAGTGGATGCCATGAATCCGCAGATTATCAGAGAGGACAGAGCCCAGTCCCCAGCTCAGGAAACAGCTGAGATGGAGTAACTTCGGTCGCTTATGAGGCACACTAGCTGAACTGTCTGGAACAGTGCTTGAAAGAATAGTGAAATTCCAAACGCTTATATGCTGCAACAGTGAAGAATCAATTCTCCTTCAGGAGCCAGAGACGGGTCATCTCAAGATTAAGACCCGTGCCAGGGCCCTGGTCTTGGCGAACATTATACATACGTACCATTTGGACCAACATAGTATGTCTCAGATTTGAGGCCCGGTGCAGAATCGTGGCAAAGTAGCCACGATTCTGCACCGGCTGCAAGGTACCCCACTGAGAAGACGGATATTGGCAACCATGACACAAGATCCAACTCTCTTCACGGACTACTCCTGGATTCGTTCGTTTTGGGCTGCTGGGCGGAAGCTGCTGCCAATACAACTACTCCTTGAGAAGAGTTGTGACCTTCCTGTTGCTGGGTATCATCCACCACCTCCCTGGCGCCCAGATCCGGCCGATGTTTGCGTCATGCAACTACCTACCTCTAAGCGTCTCTGTAGTCAAGACAGTTCAATGTAGATAAATGTAAAGCTCTGCTCGAGAATTTTCATAACCCTAGCACCTACCAGCTTAATAATTGAGAAACTTTTCAAAACCATTCATCACAGCTTAATGTTGAATTTAGCCGTACAGAATGCAAAAAGGACTCGGGGAGTTATGGTAAGCAGCAACCTTAAACAACAGCAACCTTCAATGACCACGGTGTTTAGAGCACCGTAGTCGAGAAGAATCTTCACGACTACGGTGATCTTCACACCAACTCCAAGACTAAGAGACTGATTACCTCATTTTTTGTATATAGTTCTACTGTCTTCAAATTATGTCGTAGAATCTGTATTGATAAAGCCACTGGATGGCGAAACGTCTACAATAAAGATACCCAGATGTTGCACATGTGTCTCAGTGTTCATCTTATCGGTATTGTATACCATTTTTGTACAAGACAGCAATGCCTAAGCGTACGTAATAAGGCAAATAGATTACTGGGATTTATATCAAGAAATGTAAGCAACAGAAGTCCAGCGGTTATATTACAGCTTTATACATCATTAGTAAGGTCTCACCTAGGTTATGCAGCTCAGTTCTGGTCTCCATTTTACAGAATGGATATAAATTCATTAGAAAACATTCAGCGATGAATGACAAAATTAATTCATTGCATTAGAAATCTTCCGTATGAAGAAAGATTGAAGACCCTTAAATGACATTCGCTTGATATAAATCCCAGTAATCTGTTTACCTTATTACGTATGCTTAGGCATTGCTGTCTTGGTTTAAGGTTGCTGCTTACCATACTATGTTCTTATGTTAACATAAGAAAAAGCTTGACAAACCTCCTGGAGAGCGAAACGTTGCCACAATAAAATGTCACATTAGTTGCAGTTGTGTCCTTTTACTTTACATGAAATAATAATGTTCCATTACCGACACAGTGATAACTTATTACACACACACACACATACGACCAATGAAAGGGCGGGACCAGGAGCTATAACTCGAACCCTGCAACTACAATTAGGCGAGTACACTCACAAAAAACCACCTCCAGGCCAAGTGTCTATCGACAAGTGCATATGACAACTAGTAACTACAGCTACACCCCCCATGCACCACCTGGAAACCACCTCCCTTCGCACCACCTGGACAGCTGGTTATCTAACAGGTGGCACACACAGAAGCGAGGCCTCGCTTTCACTACAGTGCCGCTACTCCTGCCATTAAACTTTACTGTAGGACGCACCTCGCGCATCCAGTGTGCTGCATCTGGGCATCACAACACACCCCACACTACACGTCTCACCCACCCCCCCAAAAAAAAAATAATTAGAAGAAAAGCCTTATAACGACGGTATCAAACTTCACAATGGTATACAATACCGACAAAATGAAGATTAAGACACATGTGCAACATCTGGGTATCTTTACTGTAGACGTTTCGCCATCCAGTGGTTTTATCAATACAAATTCCAGGATATAATTTGGAAGACAGTAGAACTATATACAAAAGATGAGTTAATCTGACCACCTCAAACGACTACAACCTGAAGGATGATGATGGATTGATCACTCCATCTCCACTCTGTCTTCTTTTTCCATATTCGTCAACTCTGTATTCGACTGGAGGTCTAGTGTGTCGGCGAAATGTTTTGCAGTAAAGATATGTAACTTGTGGAGACTTACTCAGCCCTGTAACAACTTCAGTCAGTATTACCAAGGCTGGCTCCTCCTCAGGAAA